GTCTGGCTTTTAGTCTGTTTCAGATGAGTTGCCTGTAATGGTTTTCTTGAAGCACAAATCAGAATTCCTCATAAAGGGGGTGGGAACCCATTAGGTGGCATTGGCCTTTGGACATGACCTGATCTGGAAGCTACAAGCCAACTTGCATGAAAAGAAAGAGGAAAGTCACTGGAACAGACCCAGCTCTACCTCTGGCGTGTAAATTAAGAGTGACCTCCTCTTTGGGTATCCTTGACCTGACCACTGAACTTCTTCCACCCGTCACCAGAAATCCCCTTGAATACGGCACTCAACACACATTGTCTTACGTTGATATTTACACTTTGGGATTGCTCCACTGATGTTTGGAATGACTCAAACTGTTTAGGTCTGAATATGTGGAGAATCGACAATGTAGAGCCCTTTAGAGAGAGAGGGTTCCTTTTCCTGACCCACATGTTTCATTACAGAGGGAGCCCCCTCTGAATTAGGCCCCTGAATATTCTCCACCCCTTCACTCACTACTCAGGGTGGGGGAGTGACATATCCGATTGTCACCCGGCCAGCCCTTTCCTGCTTCTTGCTGGGATCTGCTCCTTGCTGAGTGCTTGTGCGGGCCTCCTGTCAGCCACGTGCCCAGCCTGGCGGGGACAGCAGTTGTCTGGCACTGCCTCTGTCTGGGTGGGCTCATCACCTGTCTCACTCTGGGACTCGGCAGAAGGTCATGGTGGCTGTACTCCTAAGCCACATCTTTCAACTTGGCCTTCATCACCAATGAACCTGATAAAGTTTGGACCTCTATGCACCTGATTCTTGTGTCTATCTCTCAACTGGACTTGGCCAAGATATAAGAAAATCCCAGCATGAACTTTCATACAAAATGACCAGCTTTACCTGTTTTAGTCAAATCTGCCAAGTGCAATATCATAAGTAGGAACATCATATAATTATTTGTTGAATGGCAGGGCATCATTCAACACCAGCACTGACTCTCAGCTTTGAGAAGATGCATACGGGTTTTTAAATTCTGAAATAGACAAGAACTATTCCAGAAAGGACTTGTTTTCTGGTCACCTGGAACCTGCTACACCTCATCTGGATTATTGTCTAAGTGTCCACTCATCTGACGTTAAGGAAGACCAGTAGGGTCCCACTGTGTGTTAATTGACTGCAGAGGACCTGGCAGCTGAGAAGTCTGGGTTGATTTTNAATGAGGTTCTAAGCATGTTCTCCTAGGACCAGACACTCACAACTGTCATTTCACTTTATTTTTGCTTTTTTATCAATAGTCTGCATGTTCCAAAGTATATAATGAGGATCAATTTAGGTGACAATAATGTCTTTCCATTTCAAAGCCTCACAGTGTAACTATGGTATATTGGTATTTTCCCATAGATTCTAATTGCACGTTATATTCCAAGGACCATGTCTGACTTACACTATATCTAAATCTATGAAATAATGAGCCCTATTACCACAGTGTTCTTTTCCAAAGCTCATCTTTCTGCATCTGTGTTTCTCTACAGATACAATCCCATTGTAATAAATAGTCTCATAACCAAATTCCGGGCAAGCACAATAAGAATGCTTCTAATTAACAGCAGCTGATGCTTAAATCTCACTTCCCAGGTGCCTTGCCCTGCTCTGCACAGCTTACATCTATAATCACCTCTAAATGGTATTTGCAAGGATCTATTTACTTGGGTAATAGCCACCTGGATGGGATGCTAAGACAACAAAGATCATAGATGAGAATGTTTAACCTGAGCTTCGTTCGTTTGTAAGCCCTGAAACTGATGCAGAATCCTTGATGTGTGTGAAGTGTGCGTGCGTGTGTGTACATACATGTGGAACCCTAGGACAAGGGCACGTAGCTTTTGTCACCTTCTCAAAGGAGACTGAGATACAGAAGAAGATTTTAAACCACTGTCAGGGGCAGCCCTTTGGAGAGTTCTGGGATCAGATTTGACCAGTATTTTAATGGCATACCATTTTTTGTTCTATTAAAAACATACAACCAAGGAGGTTTAACTCATCAGGTCAATAGTAGTGGTTATTCCAGCTTCTGATCAATGATAGTCATAATGAAGTGCAAGATTATGTTTCAGTAAAGCTGTTTAAAAAATAAACACAAGTCACGGAAAGCAACACAAAGTTGAAACATCCGGAGGGGCTGCTTTTACTCACCTTTGTACAAAGCATAAGAAATAGCATTGCTCACAATTTCGTCCCCAGCTTCTTCCATTTTAATCACGGTTAATAGGTGAGAACTTTCCAGAATTTCTTTGAGCTGGCAACATTTAAAGAACAGAGTTGTCAGCCAAATGAGTTTAGACTTGAGGAACATAAACTTCATTTTTTAGGTGAGAATTCTTTTATTCCGTTTTTTTAAAGACCATCTACAGGGGAGTTTAGATCTCCCTCCCTCGCCTACAGCATCCACCCATAGCATCTAGTTCCTAAATTGGAACCATGAGTCCTTGACCACAATGAGAATAAAGGACTGGTTACACAAGGGTGCGTATATCAAAAGGCTCCCATCAAAAGGCCGAGTCACTGACCAGGGGAGTGAGTGTGTGTGTGTGTGTGTGCGGGCACATGTGCACACACGTGACCAAGCCTGGCACATGGCAGGTGTCCAGTTGTTGAATGAGTGAATATGAGGAAAGGGGAACAGGAAATCTCAGAAAGCATCCAAGCTCGGTCACAAGGGCTTACACTATAGGAAGGAAAAGTTCAGTGTGAGCAAGAGGACTTGGTGATTGGATGAAGAGATAAGGAATT